CTTAGGGAAATAATTATTCCCTTCATTCTATCTGGTGATTTCATAATAAAGTTCCTGGAATGAACAATGAAGTTATGTTGATTACATATAGTCAACATATTTTTTTGAAATGATGTTATCAAAAAAATTTTATTATACATAAAAATATTAATGTTTTAGAATAAACAATTTCAAAGTTGTAATTACAAGTTTTAACACGTTCTAAAAGTTAAGTAAAGATCACCAACCATTCCCTCTTTTTTTTCAACAAGTCTTTTTCTTACAAATTCATTTCCTGAAACCTTGCATAAAGTTAGCATTTAGAGAAATTAAATAATAGCAAAATTAAATATGACTGACTTCAGCTTCTAAAATCTGTAGACTTTAATTTACCAATGTTCAGTTTAAATCTTTTACCTTGTGTGTTACCCCACTTGGCTGTCTTTTCCTTTCATTACAATTATTTACACATGTAATTCCATTGTTACTTACTTTTACTTGGACTCACATGAGTCAGCCAATATTGTTTGTGGAATAAATGTTTCAGAAGCCTATAGATATTTAATATAAAATGTCTATACACATCGCAACCAAAGAGGTGAATCCTGCAACAACCTTACGATGGCATAAAGTAAATAATAAAGTGAAAAATAAAATTAAAGTATATTTTTTTTAATCATTTCAGCCCAAGCAAGGTGGGAATGCCACTAGTACACAGGGGGTTACAGGGAGTGAAAGTGAGAAAAAAGACTGAATATAGGGAGGATTGAGGAAAGGACAAAAGATGAATGGGATCCAAGAAGATAGAAGATGGCGATTGATATTGCATTTAAATTTTTAAAGATTGTAGTTATCAGGGAAGCAAGTAAATGAAAGGGAGTTCCAGAGGCAAGAAGTTTGAACAAAGAAACTGTTGGAGTAGAAGTGGCAGTTGCATTTAACTATTTCAACAGTAAAACGTTGGGACCTAAATGCCAATCTAGTAGCATGCTTAAATTCATGTAGTCAGAGTACCAGGGAAAAAAGCTTGTCAGATCAGTTGCCATGAAAATATTTGTAGAAAAAACAGATGGAAGACATGTTGTGTCAGTGAGAAAGTGACTGAAATCAAGATGCCAAGTCATGATCAATTACATTATACAAGAAAAAAGAAATAGTGGAAACAATTGTTAGAAAAATAAAATAAAAAATAAACTTGTTAAAAGCTGAACATAAGTAAATTCTCACTAATATACTTATTGGTTTTTCTCTTTCCTTTTGGACTACATACATAACAACAACGGGTATCAATTGTAGTGCGTATGCATGTGATATGGGCAGATTCATAGCTAGTATGGCCTCGTGCCATTAGGTTTGTAAATACTAAATAACTTTTGGGCACCTATCGTAGTGCAGTAGTTATTAAACTTGTCTTCCAAGTGTAGTGAGTTCAATCCTAACTGAACTCTTGTAGTAATAAAAACTAAGAAATTGAAGTGAGGCCTTCAAACCATAAATATTTTTGTTGTTTTTAGTTGAATTTATGTTTGTTTTTGAATTGTTTTTTTAATGGATGTTATGATATTGATTTGGGGTTAGTAAAGACAAACGCCAAATAACATGTAACAATAAAAAAGGGTTTATTCGGTTGGTAAGTAGGTACAGAAATCGCCTGAGTAGTCTATAACTAGCTCAGCCAAGAACTTCTCCGACTCTGTCTGTCTTTTGACATGCCACTATTTAACGTCTTTGTTTGTAGACAAGTTCATCTTCAATAGGGGTGGTAGGTTTCCTACACAACAATGGAATATCAACTCCTTTTATGCTGAAATTTAATTTTCTTGGGTGCATTAGTAATTTCTTTTACAAAAATGTATTGCTGTAATTTTTTACTATGAAAATGTATTGCTTGCACCTTCACTATAAAAATGTATTTCTACACTTTCATAGTGTTTTGACTCTAGTTTAGGGGTTCACTATTTTTCCCATAGCTGGGACCCTTACAACTTGGGTCAGGGTGAATTTGGGAACAACAGCAATTAAGAGGTGGTTCCATGCTTCTCAAAATGTCCATCTCCCTATCAAAAGCCTTGCTGCTGGATGTAGTTTATCATCATACCCAGGACAACTTAGTTGAATTTAAATTTGAACTATAACTAAGATTAATTTTAAAACACAAGGTTATATAACCTAAACTCAGTGAGGGATCAAATTGACAATGTCCAAGAATGCCATTCGTTTGCTATGATATTTTTTTCCAGACACCCACTCAAATGGAATGTGGCACAAAGTTAAGTTTAAAGTGGGGGTCTCACACGTACATGAGACCAAAAATAGTCCACCTCAACTTGGGACTCCATCTTGTTGGGTATGTCTCAGGAGGTGCCAGGTAATGATTCTGGTTCACTGCCAAGGAAAAGGTATTGCCTGGGGAGATGGCCTCTCTGGGATTGCGCTCAGTCTATTTTGCAACTTCATCACAATTAGCTGAGTCTTTAAGTTTAACTTGTATAGTTTGAATAGAGGAAAAAAATACCTTAAGAGAAACTGAGTAAATGAGGAATTTTTTTATATACAAGTATCATTGTGGGTAACAAAAATAAATAATAATGTTTATATAAGGAAGGATTTGGGCACTTTGGTGTAGTGTAATGGTTAGCCAGCTTGTCTTGCTAGAGATCAGTTAGTTACCAAGTTCAATCCTCACTAAAAGTGCTCCATACTTTCGGCCTTGTGCCAGATCTAAGCTATGCTTAGTAAATATCTGTAAGGTGGGATTTAGTGGTGTATTTTAAGAGGTTATTTTTTTTTGTTACATTGGTTTTGGAACAGGAAGCAGGAGCAAGCTTTGCGATTGCCAGAGTTAAAGAAGACGACACAGCAGCGGTTGAGAGAGAAGTAGGAGAGAAAGAAGAGAAAAGAGAGACAGTTTACCTTAAAGTTAAGAAGTGTGATCAAGAATTGGTAAAAGGAGTCAAGGCTTACGGACTAGATATTATTTTCCTTCTCTAGCACATATTATGTGCTGGGAATTGGTAAGTATGTACAGTTCTTCATTCATGTTGCTGGTGGTTTAAATAATCACAATAAAACTACAGTTTGGGTTGCCAACCGCCCTTTAGAAAGGACTTAGGCTTTTCTTTTTTAGCTCTTTCACTTTGTGTTCTTTGTTAAATTTGCAAGATAAAAAAAAAATATCATTTTTCATTAATTTTATTTTTTTTATATCTAGATGAATTAAATTAAAATTATTACTTATTATAACTTGACAGGGTGGTTAGCAACTAAGTTTTATCTAGTCTGGTTCAAGGCCAAAGGCACCTGGGAGAATAGAACTCATTCATTAGTGACTTGTGATGTCAGTTAGACAGTGCAGTGAGATCAAGCCTGGCTAGGTCGATTGTTACACACACACACAGCTTTCTTTGTGTTAAGCTTACAAAACTTACTATCAGCAAAAAAAAAAAAAGAAAAAGAAGTTTTTAAAATTTTTATTATTATTATTTTTATTATTATCTACTTGTAACGGTAAATTCTCATTTTAACACCCGAGCGTCATTCACTGCTGAACTATTTTCTTTCAAAAATAAGTACGCGCTTCTGTAAAGCGATTTTTTTTTGTACTAAATTTAAGAAGAAAGTTAACTTTCAAATATATGTATACATCGACAGATAAAAGAATAACAAAAGAAAAAAAAAACACCTAACACTAATTTGAAAGTTAACTTTCTTCTTAAAAAAAAATTACTTTGTTATTCTTTATTTGTCGATGTTTACATATATTTATAATTTATTTATAATTTAAAAGTTAACTTTCTTCTTAAATTAAGTACAAAAAAAAATATCGCTTTACGGAAGCGCGTACTAATTTCTACAAGGAATTACTGTGAAGGCAGTAAATAGGCCCAAATTGTATACGTCAACCAACAAAATTCAGCACTGAATTACTTATCAATAAGCCGGTAATGGCTGACGAAAGACCAGGAAAAAGTCCGATTTTTTTCGGGTCGTTAACATCCAAAAAGGTAGGTTTCTTCAATATCTAATTGTTGATTTGAGTTCAGCATATACATTTGCACGGAAATAAGACTATTTGGGAAAAATTTGAAGGGATATTAGCGCTCGGGTGTTAAAATAAAAATTTACCCTTGTAACTTGTCTGATGAAAATAGTAATTTTGACTAGTAAAGAATTGTTACATATAAATAAGTGTTGTCAGCACGATGCTTGTCAATGAAGTGGATAAACAAGAAATAAATAAAAACAATTGAATGGAAATTTAACGAAAGCAACAGATTCGTTTTCTTTTGAGTGAGAAAATGGGATTTTGAAGAATATAAATTATAAAATATGAAAAGGTTATGAATTGGATTTGAAAGTTCCTATTGGATTAAATTAAAAATTAAAATTAAACAAAAGTAAAAGTAAAACCAAATTAAATATCACAAACGAAATGTCAGCAAAGGAAGAAAGTTACTGTGTTAAAAAAAAAAAAAAACGTTTGAAGATAAATTTAAAAAAAAAAATCAAATTTCTCGCCAAACTGTTTTTTCTGCTAGATGGAAATTAAAGTCATAAAACTAAAAAGGCCATTTGAAGACTTTTTAAAGTGAACTTAATTAATTGTTATTATTATAAATAAATGTAAATTCAAACACTTGTGTGGCGAAGTTGGCAATTACTTTCTTTAAAATAAATTGTTTATAAGATATCAATTTGGATTTGCTTCAAATTACTAGACCCTCGAAGTCAGAAATGCTGCTGAAAACATGCTTTTTAAAAAGTTGAATTTTATTTTTAAATCATCTGTCAATGTTCGTAATCACTAATATTTTTTATGACACATTACGTACGAGCAGGTTTAAAATCGTTAAAACAAAAATGACACCGGGAAACAGTGAAAAAAAAAATTAAATCTCTAGCATTTAAATTAAATAAGGTAAGGAATTTAAAAATTAAAATAACATTTTTAAATTACAAAACTTGATTGACGAAGAACATTTTTTAAAAAAATAATTTAGTTCAAAAGTTTATGTACTCACGTATAAAAACGCTGTTAAAAAGATACAGCTGATTGTTTTTTGTGATTTTTGTTTTAAAATTTGGATAATATCCTCGTTTACAGTTTGTATTTCATTTTTAATTTTCTTATTCACAGTTTATTTTCCCCTTAACAAAAAAAGTTAACGTCAAATAAATCTGTTGTTTAGTGTGGACGCTTCTTAAATAATTTTTCCTTCTTGAAAGATCAATAAAAACACAAACTTCTTAATCTTTGTCAACTGCTTTTTGTTTACCTGTAACGTTAAAAAGTTTATATACATAATAATTAGAAAAAAAAAAAAAAAAAAAAAAAAAATTAGTAGACGTAGTAGTGATAATTACGTCCGGCTCGCTCGGATCTTCTTCACCGGCGACACGACCATTGATTGTTGTTGATATTATTTACTGTCGAGGTTTAAAAAAGCAACAAGATGTCACGTGACTTTAGCGCGCTTAGCAACGTGACATTACCTTGACAACGGTCACCTCTTCTTTTCGTCCCTCCTAACAGCAACGCAACTCTGCTTGTCAATGAGCTGATAGACTTTTACTTTCTTTCTTTCTTTCTTTCTTTCTTTCTTTCTTTCTTTCTTTCTTTCTTTTACAATTTATTTTATTTAACATTATTTGGGTTATTTAACTTCTTTCTTTCTACCTTTCTTTGCAATCAAAATTGGCTTCAACCACTTGACACTTAACTTGGAACTCGAATGATTTTGTTTGGCAGCTGCATATTTCCTCTTGCCCCTACTCTTCCTCTTCGAATATATATATATATATATATATATATATATATATATATATATATATATATATGTATATGCACACACACTTGGGACGCTCATCGCCATTTTCTTCTGTGTGAAATGAGTTCTATGTTGGAAACTTCTGTGTGAAATGAGTTCTATGAGGGTTCAGGAGATGGAGAGCTCTGGGCTTTCTTCATTTATTTTTCTTCTGGTATTTTTTAAGTATATTGTTTTTTCGTGGGCTGCTCTTCTCCAGTTGGTTCTTTAGACGTGAGAAGAAAAATCTTTGAGCATGAAAGCCTTTGGCTTCGAATTGTTTGACGTGGTCCATAGCACACACACTTCAGCTGACACTATCCGCTGCGCAAACCAGGGATTGACAGGCAGGTACATGCAAGCTGTTACACACACACACACACACACACACACACACACACACACACACACACACACACACACACACATATATATATATATATATATATATATATATATGAGTCGTCTGAAGATAAAGTAAAGATAATATGTCAACTGTCGACCCGTTCACCTTAGAATTTCTATGGTTCCAGTAAGTTGTTTCTCGTGATACGCGATCAGTCGAAAAAAAGTATTAAAATATTTCTTTGCTATAAATGCATATCATTAATTATTGTAAAACCGGCTTCAACTGTCCGAAAATTGTTTTTCTGAATGTTGTAAATAATATATTGTTTTTACTGCATTATAGGTCAGCGACTTTTCCTCGAGGCAAATTTCCTATTGAGTGTGGATTCATTTTATTGTCAAAATGATTACATTCGGAAAAATCGGCTTCTTTTTTAGAATCTCCAACTTTTCTCAACTTCGTACGATTTTGTTCAGAATACTTGAAACTTATATTCTTCAGCAACATTTTTACACAAAATACTCTAAAAAGGTAATCCTAAACTAATATTTAGCTGGAGATCCGTGAGATTCCTAGCAAAATCCGATAGAAAATTTCAAGCCCCAAAATAAATTAATTCAATACATACAGGGATTTTTTAAAATCATTTCACGCCAAGCAAGTCTCTAAAGCAAGGAGTTACTGAGTGTGACAGAATATGAAGAAAAACACTATTAAGGAGTGAAACAAGAGTGAAAACAATAAAAGAACAGGAATTAAAACGACAGAAGATAACCATTGATATTGTATTGAAATTTTTGAAGATCCTTGTTGACTATGAAGCAAGAAGCCGGAAGAGTTAGCATAGAACTTACGGTTAAATCTAGCAATTTTGATTGCGAAGTGAGGTGACCTTACCGCCAATCTAGATCACACACACACACAAACATTTTTTTAAGCGTTTCACCCAAGCAAGGCGGGAAGCCACTAGGACGCAAGGGGTTACAGAAGATTTGGAGCAAGATCAGATAGGAGTGATAGAGGAAAGGATGAGGAGAAGGATAGTGGATAGATCAAGGCAACTGGAGATGTCGATTGACATTACACTTGAATACCTGGAGATTATAGCTCTCAGGGAAACTGGAATAGGGAAGGGAGTTCCACAGGCGAGAGGTGCAAGATATGAAGCTATTGGAGTAGAAGAGACGGCTACATTTAATAGTTTCGACAGTGAAAGGGTGAGAACGGGATGCCAGCCTCATAGGGCGCTTGAATTCATGAAGTCTGTGAACCAGCGAATGCAGCTCCTCGGAGCAATTGCCATGAAAGTATTTGTAAAACAGACAGAGAGAGGCGACGGCGCGTCTGTGAGAAAGTGACTGTAGACGAGATGCCAGAACAGGGCCAATTATATTGCATATCCGCCTCTGGATCTTATCAAGAACCCCGAGGCAAACAGAAGGGGCTCCAGACCATATATGGCAGCAATACTCCATGCAAGGGCAAATTGTTGATTTGTAGATCTGAAGGATCGATTCCGGGGAGAAAAATTTCCTGGCGCGGCACAGGGAGTCAACTTTCCTTGCGGTGGACGAAGCAATTGACTCGGCGGTGTCATGTTTGTTGAAGAGGGATGTTTTCTTGTGTTGGAGGGAGATATATATTTAGTGGATAGGCTAGTGTAGTCGCATAATATTCTTTTTCAAACAAGGTATAGTGTAAGAAGTCCCTCAGAGAGAAAAAGAGAAATGCCTTGTCACCTCAACATCATGTGGTTAAAGAGAAAAAGAAAAGAGGGAGGGGATGTTTGCACCGATTTCTTTTTATACTGCTTCATAAAATACGACCTGGTGGGTGTTAGAAGTGGTGCTCGGTAAAAATGGCAACGGTAAAATGGCACCGGTAAAAATGGCAAAAGTGGATAAATAGGAAAAAATGGCAAAAGTGGATGAATAGGAAAAAATGGCAATTCGACAACAGAAAATTATGACCGTTCGAGAAGGATGGGTCTAAGCTCCCATCCCTCTAGTTTAAAATAGGGCTAAGTGCCCCCACTCAATATTTTAAAATAAATATTTTTAAATAGATATTTACTCTAGTGGGGGAGATAGGCTCCTTCTCTTCTTGTTTTAAATATGGGCTAAGTTCCCGCTCCTAGTATTAAAAACATTTTTTTTTAATTTTCGATGTCGATTTTTAGAAGTTTTATGGAGGGGGGGTGGCTAGGTTCCTACTCCTAATTGCAATAAAAGCACAAATAGTAGCGTGTTTAAGTGAATTTGATGACTATAATTAATTTTATAATTGATAGCTGACATTAAGATTAGATGTATATATATATATATATATATATATATATATATATATATATATATATATATATATATTAGTGTTTATATATATATATATAAAATAAGTGTATTAGTGTTTATATATATATATATATATATATATATATATAAAAAATAAGTGTATTAGTGTATGTATATATATATATATATATATATATATTAGTGTTGGGACGATTAATCGGAATCGGGGAATCGGAAAAATCGCAAAGGCGAAGGTTAGGAATCCCATTCAAATAAAACTTTTTTTTTTTATTGGAATGTTTTTTCTTACAAATAATCAAATAAAATTTTTTTTTATAATAGGAATGTTTTCTTTGAAAATATTTTTAAAATAGTTTATTTATTTTTTATAATTGGAATGTTTTCTTTTTGTGTGAAAATACTTTTTAAACAGTTTATATTGAAAACATTTTTAAATACTTTATTCTATTTTTTAAATAGTCTAATAGTTTTTTATAAATAGAAATGTAACAAAATTTAAATATATTAAACGTCATAGTAATAATGTATCCAATATATTGTTTTTTTATTTGACTGCATTACTGATTCCCACGTGTTCAAACTAGTGAAATTAAAAAAAAAAAACTAACTCTAAGTGTACAAAACTGACGAGGAACTGTTTTCCGATAAACACCGCTTAATGTCAGTTTCTGATTTTAATACCGGAAGCCGTCATCAAGTGAACCTATAATTGTTTTTTCCCAAGTTTTTCAGTGTGTTCAGACGTAATCGGCTAAAAAGTAAATGGGATGGGGGAGCTTTAGCTGAATATTCTTTTTAATTTGACAAACTTCTCATGTTTTTCCATTATGTATTGTATCCAAGATTTTAATAAACTCATTGTGAGATATTCATCTATATTTTTTTCCTTTTGCCATTTTTTCTTATTTATCCATTTTTACCGTTGCCATTTTTACCTATTTATCCACTTTTGCCATTTTTACCGTTGTCATTTTTCCGTTGCCATTTTTACCGCTGCCATTTTTACCTAAATTCGTTAGAAGTAACCACAAACAAAGAAGAGTAATCCCACACTTTCGTAAGAATAATCTCAAAGGAATATTTGATAAAATTCATTTTAATTTAGACTGTACATTCATCAAAATATAAAGTTCACAAAAAACACATTTCGATCGGTGAATGTCCAATCAACGAGAAGGGCAATTGTATATACATTTGTGAAATGCTTTTATGGAGATAATGTGGTGGCTCCAGAAATTATTTTCATTATGTCATTTTGAAAAATCCATATCTCTTGATATCTAAAATGCGAACGTCATCTATATCTATAAAAATAGTAATATAAATACTTTCACTGGTGCACTGCCTGGCTGTGCTGACCCATTTTTGGGAAAAATCGGAAATCGCCATTTTACTTTCGATATGATGTTCTAAGCTAAACAGTACCCACAATACACAAGGTAATAAAAATACGCCACAAAATAAATATATATGCTATTATATATCTGTGCTGGTCTGAAAATAGCACTAAGTCATAGTTATTTTATATAATAAACACTAGGGACCAACATTTCATATTCTTGAAAATGTGTGTATATATATATATATATATATGTGTGTGTGTGTGTGTGTGTGTGTGTGTGTGTGTGTGTGTGTGTGTGTGAAACCCACACATTCGGTTAAAAAATATCGTCCTTGATAATGGCTAAAAGAATAGCCGAATGCGCTCGGATATGCAGAACCTTTGGACAGTTTTTACACACTTTGTGTCCAGTAAAGAAAACTTGTACAACACAAGAAAATTGAATAAAAAAAGCTTAATCGCAGTGCCTTGTTAGCCATCTTTAACAAAACTTCTATAAAAGAGAGATTTCTACCTAGATCCCCAATATATATTTGTCTTTAAAGCATGAGTTTTCAAAGACGCCCATCAGCTGCTATTGCATATCTCCTCTATAGCCAATCGTCATTTTTGTTGTGGTCTAACCTCTCTACAATAGTTTAGACAAGTTCTTGCGAAAGTTGATTTGGAGTGTTCGTCAGTTGTTGAGTTGTGCCGTGTATTATTTATGTGTTGGTGGATAGTGGAATCGTCGATTTGAAGCGTCGAGAGGTTTATGGTTCGTATCGATGTGTATGTGTGTACGTTAGTAGAGGAAGTGTAAATGGTTTGAAGAAGATTCTGCGATCAATTTCATTGACAAGCTTAGCGAAATATATTAAAGATTCGAACAGTCTACAGACAGGGCTTCAGGAAATGTTTTCAGTAATGTTTCTGAGAGGACGGACATATGGTATTCTTAATAAATTTTATTAGCTACTGGAACGTGCTCTTTCGCTCAGTGGGTCGGTCTGAGTTCAGTCTGAAGTCGGACGACCGGCTGACCGGTTGAACTCTCTGCCTTCGGACGCCGAAGGGTGGAGTCTCTTTCGGGGAGGTAGACCGACCCTGAACCCATTTATACGGGTTAAAAGGGCATATTTTTGGCCGAGCCCACGGGCTCGGAGATCCCACGTTAAACTGGCCTTGTGTCACATGATGCCCTCGTTTTAACTGAATATCGCTCTTTCGATCCTGTTTATTGTTTTTTCCCTTCGTTTTTATTATTCCAAGCAAGGCAACAAAACCACTAAGACTCAAGGGGGGGGGGTTACTGAGTGTGAAAGAATCAGAAAAAGAAAAACGTTATTAAGGCGCGAGAGTAATAAAAGAAGAGAAATCAAGAAGACAGTGGTTATCTACTGTCTTCTTGATTTCTCTTCGTTATCAATTGACATTGAATTTAAATTTTTGAAGATCAAAGTTGGCAGGAAAGCATGGAGCCGGGAGAGAGTTTTACAAGCAAGAAGTGTGACAGAAGAAAATGTTAGCATGGAACTTACGGTTGCATCTAGTCAGTTCAATTGTAAATTGACGAGGTACCATAGAGAAAAGTTCATAAGAATAATTACTATGAAAATATTTATAGAAAAGGCACAGGGAAGCTACACTACGGCGATAGAAAAGTGACTGAAGCCGAGATGACAGGCCAGGAGCAATAATATTATGTATTCTTTGGATTTTGTCAAGAATTTTCTAATATATAGCACAAGCACCAGAACATATGTGGCAGCAATATTTGGAGTATGGATGAATGGTAGACTTATAAATATATAAAATAGATTCTGGAGAGAAATCTTGTCTAAGACGACACAACGAACCAATTTTATTAACAGCAGATCTAGGAATTTATTCAATATAATCTTTTCACTTTATGTCAGCAGAGAATGTTATCCCAAGAAAGCGCAATTAGTGACTCTTCTGGAGGTTAGCATTAGTCATGTAGATGGAAGAAAGAATGGTTTCTCTCAGCCGATTAATACAGAGAAGTTTCATTTTGGAGGCGTTAAAATTAACAAGCCATTCCTTGTCTCAGTTAACAACAGATTGTGGGTATTTTTTAAAGATCAGCTGCCAATTTGGACTTATCAAACCGATCAGACTTACTATTGAGACAGGAGTAAATTGTTGTGTCATCAGCATAGATACTGAGTTGAGTTTCGAAGGTTGGAGACAATTACAATAAACAATTTCTTCGCCTCTGTTAATCTGATCATAAATACTTGAGAATTATCAAAGCACAGTGGCTGCATTGTAATGGAAACTCTTTACACATCACTTTACTCGTTCTGAAATGACTTTCTAACAGAGTAACACACTTCTTTTTATAACGCAATTTCCAAGCTCTCATTACATTTAAATTTTAGTGATGAATTTAGACATATGTTTAACAAATTACAACACGGATGGGGCTTCTCAGAATAAATTGCGCAAAGGGATGGTTAGCAAACTCGTTAAGAGTGTTCATTTCTTACGAGTATTCCTCAGTATCTGTCTATATTTCTGAGATGAGGTATTATGTACACTATTTACATTATTCGGATTATTGTCCTCATCTTAATTGTCATATTTATCACAACGTTTCGGCCGTTGTACGGTCCGGCCTTCTTCATGTGGTTGGAATGTCGAACTGAACCCTTTATTTCGCTCGCTGGGCTAGACTGTTCTAGTTCCACGTGCCATGTCTAATGGATGTCAGTTATCAGTTATCTCCTGTTAATTCACCTCTCCAAGTTCTCCACTGCATTAACCAGGTATTGAACTCACCAACAACTTTCTCCACTGTACCATGTGTCCCTAAGGACATCTGTGTATGAATTTCTGGAACTTATAAACTTATTGTCTTCAGCAACCATTTTTTTACCATTGCTCATATTGCAATTTTTGCTATCATCATTGCGTGTTTTTTTTTTGTTTTTTTTTTACCAGAGCTCATATTATGGGTACTCCTTTTTGATAGTTCGTGTGAAAGCTGAGTGAATATCTCGCCGCAGCTGCGTTCTTTCCACAATTACCAGCATTTAGTTTTCAAGACTACAATCAAGAATCCTGTGTAGTAAAAGGTCTGCAGTGAAGGTTCAACAATATAGTAGTTATGTCAGATTAATTAATGGAGTGCGAGAATATGTAGAACAATAGAAGTTATGTAGGAATACTGAAATCGCTAGTAAGCAGAAATAACGATGTTTGTAGAGAAAAGTCAAAGTAAACAATAATAAATGTCATTTCTGTCAATGTGCTAACGATTGATTTGCGTGTAGATCAGATCAATAGTAGGTCAAATCAACGCAGAGTTCATCACCTGATATTCCCAAGCAGTCACCCATCTAGATACTGACCAAGCTCAACGTTGCTTAATTTCTTTGATAGTACGGAAAGCGGTGTTTCAACGTGATTTGGCCGTAAGCCTTAAGTAAATTCTCTTGTTGGTCAGTACAAGTATGACAGTTGTAAGTTGGTTAAATTCTAGCAAACGGAATGAATAGATAAAGTCAGGCGAAGATGAAAGTCTCTCGTCAAACGAAGTATCAGTTGGCGGAGAGTTATTAGGTACTAACAGTAGAGCCCGGCGTTTCCCGGGGATGTAACAGTAAGAGATAGATCAAGTATCGACCATCATAAAGACTGAAAAATAAAATTGACAATGATTATTGTTTAAGGTTGACGGACACGCATGACTTAATTAGTTTTTTTTTTTTTTTTTTTTTTGTGAATTGGTCAAACCCAAACTCAAACAAAAACATTGTTTTCAATCGTTATGAGTCTATCGATTGAATAGAATTTTATAATAAACAATTGTCTTGTAAATGGAATTTTTAAAGCATTCTGAATGTAAAAATAAAGAAAAAAGTGTGCAAGACAATAAGAAACACTACTGGCCAAAAAAAAAGTTTTGTTGAAATCGGTTGAAAAATGTAGGAAATCCGATCCCATATATAAAGGAATACACACACACAAACAACCTGGGTTTTATAATAAGTATAACTCGATATGAGTTGTCCCCCTTTCATTCCGCGAAAGCGATGCCTCTTAATCGTGTTTTCAATTTGATTTCGTGCAAAAACAATTGTAATTGTGTTTTTCCAATTTTTGGCGCTGTCAGAACCACCGCAAGGTAATTTTACGTAGTCCTGTGAAGTTTTGTTGAAATCGGTTGAAAAATGTAGGAAATCCGATCCAATATATAAACGTACACACACACACACACACACACACACACACACACACACAATCTGCGTTTTATAATAAGTAAGATTAGTTACAACCACCCCCCCAAAAAAAAGGCCAACAATTTGAGTTCAGATTCGTCTTTTTATACAAGTAACCCCCCCCCCCCAAAAAAAAAATTAAGTGCTACAAAAATATATTTTTCTGCTTAGTTTTTGATTGGCAAAGGAGATAATTAATTCGGAACCATTAAAATAAAAGAATTTCAAATCATATAGGCCATTCTCCTTAGCAGATTGGCACAAAACAATATTTCTATCCGAAATTTTCGCCATTTGACAGTGTGCAGTATTTTATTTATTTATTTTTTTATATTTTAATATTTTCACACCAAGTAAGGCGACAGGACGCAAGGGGTTACATGGAGCGAAAGAGAATGAGAAGACTTTAGTGAGGAGTAGAAAAGGACAATAAAGGAACAGCATTCAGGAAGACGGAATATAGAGATTGTCGTTTCATTTAAATAAGGGAAGAAATCGGAAGGAAATTCCACAGGCGAGAAGTAAGAGAAAAGAAAGTATTAGAATAAAACTGACGGCTGCATTTTTAGCTCAACAGTAAAACGGAAGGTAAAATTTGTAAATATTAAATCCACTCGTCGCCATATCTTCTTTGTTGAAGTTTTCAAGGATTTTTATAGTTCGGCATATTTTGATCAGGTCTTGAATTGTCCCCGCCTCTTCACAGCCAGTGAATGATACTAAATTTAATCATTTGTTTATTCTCAGTTATTAAATGAAGCTTGGCACATTATGTTTTCTATTGATCTTAATGCTCTAGTTCGATACGCCACGACATGTTTTGAATGAGTTTCATTTGAAGGAGTGCATGAAATTCGAGGCAGGTATTATTTCAATGTGCACTGTTGTGCGTGTCTGTAACTAGGCGAATGAATTGATCAACATTGTAAACTGGTCCGCTTGCTGAATGTCTTGGCCTCAACACAATTTTGCAACTAACTGTATGAATAGTTAATTGCAACATCATGATACTTGCTTAATTTGGTATTTTAATCATTTTTGTCCACAATTTCATACTCTTAAAATATAAGATAACATTTTCAAATAATCAGCATGGAACTTGTATTGCTTTAACAATGAAATGACATTAATATTTCAAGTCTTATTCAGAAAGCTAAACTTTCTGTTATTGATGTTATTTATATATATATATATATATATATATATATATATATATATATATATATAAACAGTAAGATATATAAATCCGGTGATCTTATAGATATTTTTTATTTTTTACAAAATACTGCTCAATGTAAATTTACAGAGCATTAATATTTATACTTAATGTGAAAATAATTTTGCATACTGTAAGTGATTCTAATACATTTACTTGTTTTAAAAAGAAATATAGTATATGAAAAATTAAAAGTGAAAATATTTTTTTAAAATCGTAGTTAAATAAAACGTATTCTAACATGAACACCCCCCCAAAAATCTTTAAGTTTACAAATAGAAAAAAATGCCGTAAGAATTTTTGCCGTTAACAATAATTTAAAAAAAAAAAATCTAGACGACATGCATTTGACGGATGTCAGAATTCATTGAAAAATACATCCCTACCTCTACTAAAACATAACTAATAACTGATACATCAAAATACAGCGATAGTGAACACGCAACCACCCCTTGTCTGGATGAATGGATTTCTCTGTATCCTTGGAAACGTGAATTATGATTTTTTGCTGTGCCTTAAAACCCAGTAATTTTTAAAATAAGTTACTCCAAAATTCGCTTGAGGATGTAATGGAACTAATGTCATTAATTTAATTACAAAATTAAATTCGAAGATTTAGCTTCCATTTTTGAAACATGGTTAGAACTGTGTAGCGAAAAATACCATATTTTAAATCAATTAATTTATAATATATATATATATATATATATATATATATATATATATATATATATATATATATATATAAAGAAGAGAAAACCGCAAACGTGTTTGGTTGTAATGTGGATTTTAAAAAAAATTTATATACTAATATACTAATTCCTTATAAAAATATATATACTAATATACTAATTCCTTATAATAAGACAGTATGTATGTATGGAGAGGAAATATACGTATACGTACGCATGCAGACAAAAACACAAAAAAATGGAAATAGATCTAAGAACACACAGGGGTCATTAAAAGATAAGAATATAGATATATTTCTCACCCTTTCTCGGACCAGTCTTAATTGTTTCATTACCCTTCACGCAGAACTTTTTCACTGTCAGTTCAAGGAAGACATTTGGGTCACTAACACACAAAAAAGAGCATGTCTAATATCGAGAATATTTAACATCGAAAACCATAAGAAAAATTAATTCTTTTTAATAATATGCGGAAATATTCTCCTTTTGCCTGATGAAGGTCGCGTGACCGGAAACACATATAGCAAAATTATGGAAAATAAATAAATCCACATTACAACCAAAAACGTTTGCGGTTTCTCTCTTCTTTTTAATATACACACTTTTCTCTCGTTGGAACCACTATAACCACTTCCTTATATATATATATATATATATATATATATATATATATATATATATATATATATATATATATATATATATATATATATATATGTGTGTGTGTGTGTGTGTGTGTGTGTGTGTGTGAAAATATATAGAAAATAGGAAGGAACTGGTTAGGTAAATAATCCAACGTCCCTTAGTATTTTAGTTATTATTTAAAAAAAAAATAGTGCTCGATACAAAAGTAGAGCATAAATATAATTAATTTAAAAATATGATTCCAACTCGCAACATAAGAGGTCTCATGTTTCAAAACAAGAGCCGAAAACTTCAATATAATTATTTAAATTAAATTGAGTTAAAGTAAGCTCTGTTCCATCATCAAGCGAAATTTTTTTGAAAAACGTATTTCTGAAATTTACGTGTTTTAAAAATTGAAATCAAAATTTCCATGGTAACAGCTAGGGCGAATTGTTTAAATTGGGTAGGCGAGTGTTGGGTGTTAATAATAAGTATCAGTATAAAGTTACTTTCATAGATGTCAAGTCAGGGAAAGGTGGGGGTGTCTAAATTTGAAACGGAAGATGTATTAACCCTCGTCTAGTTTGCATGTCTATGGAGATTTATTTATTTTTTATTTTATTTTTATGAAAGGATTTGTGCATATAAAAAACTGTCGTAATGTTTGTTTTTTGACGACTTCATAAAGGGTTATCTTTTTTTAGGGTATTTAAACTATTTATTTGGGATATGGATATATATATATGAGAGAGAGAGAGAGAGAGAGAGAGAGAGAGAGAGAGAGAGAGAGAGAGAGAGAGAGAACAATATGGCGAGAGAAAATGGTCGCTAAAAATATAAAATTCGGAATACGACTTATTTTTTTTTATTATATTATTAAAACAAGAAAATTCCCATTTGATTTTACTTTATTTTATAATTTAAGTGAGTCACAAAGAAAGAACATGGACGTTAAGTTTCTTTATTCTGAAAACACGAAATAAACAATTTTAGCGGTTTCAAAATATATCTCAAATTGTTTACCGTCTTTAGTAAAGTCAAATTATTTGGGATCTTTTCTGTTAATTCAACTCAAATAATGTAAAATTACTTATCGAAAATATTAATTTACCCCAAGAAATAAATTTTAAACAAAAAGATTTTTGTTGTTTTTTTTTTCATTAAATTTTTGACACTCTTTTGAAATTATAAATTTTAAATCAAAATTTGTTTAGCTTGTCTCGCAACAACTCCAACCTTTAGAATGAAAAATTAACAAAATTCATGGAGTTATTGACGTTCCGTAATTGCGGATGATATTCCAGGTACTTTACAAGAAATAAAAAAAAAACAAATTGGGGCTTGTTTATCGGGGCGAGCGTGAACGCAGACCCCGCACTTAGAAATAGCGCACCCGAGTCAACTACATTTGGGGCGATCGCAAAATACATTCCAATCGGAGCGCAATGGAAGGTTCTTGCTCTGGATGTATTGTGTGAATTTTAGTAAATATAAATTATTTTTATTTTTAGATGAATTAATACCGAAAAGATACTTTGTTGCTTCGGATTTACTTGACTTAAAAATATTAAAATATTATTTTAAAGAAGTAGGGATCGAAGGTATTACTGGGGGGAATAACTTCAAATATAGCAAAAGAAAAGATGTTCTTTAACATGCTTT